ATTCGTTAACTGCAAACGTAGAAAACACGAAGAGCTAACGGTAACTGCAAGACGAACGAGTTCGATCACAAACCGACAAAAGTGGCAAAGGGAGAGGGTGCACACGAACGACTTTTGTTATACCCAACTTAGATGAGTTGTCGTCAACTGGTAACTAATCAATACAAGGGGGCAAATCCAAAAAGTCTATACAACAGTATTCCATTGTATCCGTAAATTCAAGAAACGCAAGAAACATCATATTGGGATCCAGTGTCCGAGTGTTTTTTTTCTACTCAGACAGGTGTGAGAGGGAGGTCTGGTGTTCAACTGGGATACGAGTAGTTGGAGGGATGGGGAGAACTGTGTGCCACATCCCTATCCTCCCCGTCCGCTTATACTTCCGATAAAATACAACTCGAATTCGAATGAACAATGGGGCAGTGAGTCCAAACGCCAGGAATTGTTCACGAAAAGATATACGCGATAGATGGGGTTTTTAACATAACAGGACGAACTGAAAGTTGCTGGTTCGGCTCGGCGATCGCGTCACTGAACCCGTTATACTGTCCTCGTACAGACTGAAGGGCAGCCGCCACAAGGTCGATGAATGAGAGTCCCGGGGGGGGGGGCAGTGGAGAAGGGTAAAAAAAAACGGACAGTTGACGGATGACAAAGCTCGCGAAACACGTAACTGGAACAAACAAAGAAACGCGTAACAATCTATACGGGAGAGGTGAAGAATATTGCATTTTGCCAAACGAGTAGACTGTCTCGTGGTTGGTTCATTAGTTGGCTGTTATGCGACGAACAACAGAACCGCACATATTTCGGGGATCTGGACTGTGTGAGCCTCAGCACAGACAGATACAATCGCATGGAGTGACGAAGTACACACAAGAAGCGTTGAGAGGGATACAGAGAGACCGGACAAGGTGACCTCAACCAGTCAGTCAGTCGGTAAGAAACGTTAAGGCAGTCTGTGCAGTTACGAATAGATACAGCGGGCGAAAAAAAAACTTAGTTAGGGAAATAAACGTCCCGTTAGAATACGACAAAATAGCCTCTTTTGTTGAACATAGAAAGCAAGAGAATAGCCTGTTTGTGAAGCAAAACACTCCGCCAACCCAAGAGGTTGAGACACAGGGATACAAAACAAAACAAAGAGAGGTGAACCAAAGAAACAGAAGAATCACATCAGTCTTGTCATGTGTGTGTAGGTGTGTACGATCGTCGAGTCTAGTCGAGATTAAAGTATTCATTCATAAACAAGTCGGTTTGCTTCACACGGGTATAACTAGGTANCCCCCCCCCGAGGAGGGGGGACAATCGTGACGATGTGGGCAGGAAATATATTGATCGAAGCTCTGAACATGAGTGGAGAGCGCGCGCGCGAGAATTCAGGAGGATCTGGAATCTTGGAAAGCAGACAAGGCAGTGAACGAATGAGTGTACTTGCAAGTGAATAACACGGATGGGAGAGTAAGCGAATGCAGATATCGACTGCTGATTTTGGCTCAGCAAGACTGTTGTTGAGGTCAAACGACCCAGAGTTTATTGATTCGATCGATGAAAGAGCGTAAACCATAGAACGGTCGATTAATTGGTGTAAATTGCTTCGTACGGCACAAATGGAAGAGCGGGCAGAAGATCGATAGTGAAAGACGAACAGGCTGTTATCTATGTATGAAGTCGTGTGTGTGTGTGACTGGGTTGGGAGAAAAGGGTAATAAAATTCTCTTTTTTATTTTAGTCTGAGTGGCGCGTGCAACAATATATCAGCATATTTATATTCGTGAGTATATATATTCATAAAGGAGTAGGATAATGAAAGTGTCACCACGGCAACTGCATTAAAATTCCAGCGGGGAGAAATGGCAGCTCAAACACAGTTAGACTGAAACAAATTCGGACTGCGTAGTTAGAACTCTGCAAAAACAGATTTTCTCGATTGAAACGTGGCCAGATAGGGAAAGATACAGGGCTAAGTGTGAACGGATACGTGCCATTTGTGTTATTGTTGTTGATGTTGTTGTTCGAGTGATAAGCGAATGAAATAATTCGAACATAAAATGTCGGCTATTTGTTCAGTATTTTTTGTTATTTTATTGTCGTTCTCATCATCGAATTGCCATTATGCGCGAGTGAACGCACACACACGCACACGTACCCACGAGCAGACACAGGAATCACGGAAGCTATAGTTTTTACGTTATTCCACTTCTTAGGAGGTTTGAAGATCACAATCAGTAGCGCGCTGTAGTTTCCAAATAAGATAGCAGAGAACTGAGAAAACGAAAAACAAGGGGAGAAAAACAAATAAAGGGGCCAGAGACTAGATCCACGTTGTTCGTTCACAAACAAGATCATCTATGCTACTAAAATCAGGTGAGTAGTAGTTGGTCTCACTGACATGGAGGATGAGGATGATCAGGTTGACTGACAAGCAAAGTATCCGTTTTGGTGTGTGTGTGTGAGCATACACAGAACGCGTAATGTGCTTAGCCATATGTGATGCCATGTACCGGTGTATGTGTCATTGGCAAAGCCGAACCAGTGGTCAATTTGTAAAACACTCCCTCATCCAGACCTTGATTTTTCTCGGGTGACCGCAAATTGAGGAATGCGTATCCGCCCAAGAACTCGGCCAGGATGCGAACGGAGACATCCACAGGACGAATGATTACACGACCGGCACAAGTGTTTGTGGACAGAGATTGCGGTGCGGGAGGTGGACTACCACTGCGTGTCTCGTGTTCTCGAGATTGCATCTGTGCTCTTTTTGCACCCGGTGAGGCCAATAAGAGTACAAGTTCACCCAATTCCCAGTTGATATGCCAACCCTGGATAGAAGAAAGGCGCCAACTGGCCATTATATCCCCGGTGTTCAGATCACAACGGAATATTCGAGTCGGTCCGATGCCGACTGCTTCGATCCGTCGACTACTGGAGACAGTGATGTGGCCTCCACCGGCTGGTCGATTCATCCAAGGGACAGTGTTCCGACCACCACCAGCACCAGCACCGGTATTCGCGCCAGTCCCAGATGGGTCAGTGTTGTTATCCGGTGGGAACAAACTAGCCAGCGGCAAGGTGACCTCTATACGGGCAGGGAAGAAGGCAATTCCATGATTCGGCATCTGTTCCCAAGCACTGATATACTTCAGCTTGGCCTGTGTGCTTGTCAGTTGCTGAATACGGGAATAAGCCAGACAGATGCGTCGGACGAAACTTGCTTTTTGCTGCAAGCGAAAAAAGAAAGAAAAAAAAGCTGAATCGGTGGGAAGACAACGAATCGATAATGGGGTGAGAATTGAGTTTGCAAGGCCAACTGGATGTTCACCAAATATTCTGTTTCACATGAAAAGCCGTGATTAGGATGCCGGAAGGTGATATATATATATATATATATATGTTTGCTTAGTCACCGCAAAAACATGTAGAATTTAATTTATGATACACAGGCCAGTAAACCGTTGACTCCACAAACAGAGGGTTCGAGCCCAGGACCAAGATGTCCTCGCGCACCAGGTTCATCACTAGCATTTTGTTATACGCATCCGTCAAATGTACCGCACTCTTTGATTTTTTCCAATCCAAAGGAGATGAGCCATCTAATTAGTTTAGCAACTATAAAGTTGTTGACGCGTAGAGTAAGAGTAAAAAGATTCACAAGGTAAGTATAATCAAAATCCGTTTTCACGCTAGGCATGGATTTTTTAACTCATATTCTGATCATTTATATCAATTTCTCCCGCTTTGAGTTCGGGAGATAGGACTCAATGCCAAATCTGCACTGCTGACTGACACGTCACGTATCGATCATCTCTCCATCAACTCGAACGGGCCTACGCGTTCTGTTACGGACCCCTGCTGCTCGCTCTCTCCGACACCAATGCACATAAGCACACTTGCGCACATCGTGGCATACACGCACGCACATACACATACATAGAAAGATAACTAAGTACACACCACACACGAATTCATTATCCCAATTTTATTAGTTAAACTGTTGTCCCCTTCACAAACTCATCGCTGTCACGTGACTCCGTGCTCCACCGCCTAACTTCAGATTGGCTGCGTCCTAGACCGTGGCTGAACACAATCGTACAAAAGTGAAAAAATCACCTGGATTATTACTTCACCTAGTTCTTGTGATTCAATCACCTATAGCAGATATCCACAGTTCTCTTTATACTTATATGTATGTATGTATGTATGTATGTATGTATGTATGTATGTATGTATGTATCTGTTTTGGTTGCTCGTAAAGCAACCCGCTGGAACTTTTGCGTACATTTTCAGCAAACCGCTGTTAAGGAAGACTTTGTCGTTGATTTGTGTGTCCACTTAGTTGTGAACATGAGAATCTCTCTTCCACTCAAGTAGAATTTACTTTCAATCTTTCACCTTTTATGACAATTTTTGACTGTGCACAAATGTTTTCTGCTTTTCCAAACCGAATATTGAATGTGGAAATCCCGAACGAGTCGTAAATCTTGACTCGAATACAGCACAACTCTCAAGAGCAAGACAGATTACTGGTCACTGGTAGTGGACACGGAACAGGTGGTTTTCGTTGCACAAATTGGAAAGTGTTCTTCTTCAATTGCGATTCGAAAGTTGGAATATGGCATGAAATCGAAATTGCCAGATTGTAGCTTGTTTCTTTCCCCCACTTTACAGCCTTACAAATTTTACACTTGTCTTATTATTATTTGTTTCCGCTGTCTTTCTACAAAATTGGGTTGAATTGGCTTGATGCTCGAAATGTGCAGTGGAAGCACACACACAAACGCACACACACACTGATCCCGGCAGATGTTTTTCACGAATCCCTAATTCCAAACAGAACTTGGTGGCTGAAGTCCCCAGTTTCACCCTCAACATCCTCACATTTTGTTATCCACACCCCAGATCTTGTCCCTAAAACCTCCTCCTACTCCCTTCTCTCTATCTCTCTCCTTGTCCTACCTATGTACATACACACAAACACACACGCACAACGAACCAAAAAAGGGGTTACTCATAATAACGAAGAAAAAACTAATTTACTTCAAGCAACGTGCGTATTTTTCGTTTATATGGAAAGTTACACTTCCAAAACTGTTTACAGTTGTATGCGATCTAGCTGAGGCAACAAGGTTAACTGAAAACACATCTAGATCGAATTCAGAAATATGTTGCACACCTACATACCTACATGCCCACGCACACACACACACACACGAATGCAATCATTTGACAGACCTTTTAACTTTGATTCCGCGATGGAACAACGAATGTGTTAGATCACATTATTTTATCCAAGGCAAATACACTTTTTCATTCCATTCGGTTAACCCTGAACTCCAGAAACACTAAGCTCGATCTTCACCCGTGTTAGATCTCCTCAGCGGGTTTATTCACTGTCCTATCTGCGATTTGAAGTTCAAAATGCTAGAAGAGACTCAGTTTTGGGAAGATGAGTAGCGTCGAAAAGGGTTGCAATTCCCACTCTCTCATACAAACCACGCTCTACTGGATGAGCTACGAAGCAGTGATGTTTTCAGTGATGATTTAAGGACTCATCCGACTTACGGTGGCATATGGGATCCACCTTTGGAATGCAAGCTCTCTATCCGGGTACATTTTCGTTGAAATTCACCGGGTTCCACTGAGTGATCTGTCCAAGTTATGCAGCCTGGCAGATGACTAAATTGTGCCGAATAATGTCTCTGATTTAGAGTATCAAGCTTGGATCAGCCCATTAGATTGTTCAGAGGCACCGAGCACTCTTGATGGTCCCGGATGTGGTTTTCATTCCTTGTAATATCGTTAAGTTCCCACAATTTATATGCATTTAAATGGGATAAAAATGTTTGTGATGCCCGACGAAGGGCACTGGACAGATGTTTTGTCCTGTGTGGGACTCGTCAGTAGTGCATACCTTTTTCGTCCCTGTCAGGACTCAAGAGTGTCTGGTGCTTCTTGACAATCGAATGGGCTAATCCAAGCTTGCCACTCTAAAACTGATTGAGCTATTAGCACACGGTAATGGTCGTCGATCGTGTAGCTTAGGGGTAAGGGTTTGAAGTCCCGACCCGAATGTTCGAGTCCTGACAGGGACACAAAGAATGTACGCACTGCCGACGAGTCTCAAACAGAACGGAGCAGCTTTCCTGTGCTCTTTGTCGGTCATCACAAACATTTCCATCGCATATAAATATCTCTGATTGCCTGCCATCGATATACTAAGTTGAACAGAATATGCTTATGTTCTCTGCACTGAGAATGTTGACAGTTTCTCTTCGTAATAGGCTGATCTGCTCGCGGTTAATAAATGCACCTGGCAAAGCTTTGAATGAAAAAGGGACGTAAAACAGTGTTTTTAATTTTTACAGTGAAAACAGAGTCCAGTAGGCGAAACATGCCGTTTTGCGATAAACCCACCAACTGATCATTAAAATTATATTGGGTTATTTGGGTTCCTTTATCTGGTTTTGATCGGATCAAACTAAAGACAAGAAGTGTGTTAAGTTTGTTCACCTGATCCTCATCTTGGTATGTCTTCCGGGAGTGTATTGTTGGGTTTCTTCGTCCGAGGCCATGGCCAAGCTAAAGCCTCCAACAAACTGCTTTTGTAAGAAAAACAGAGTAGCAACCAAGCTCGTTTGCGGTGATTCTTCTACAGGCAAATATTAAACTGTTTAGTAGGGAGGGGGGAGAGAAATCATGACAAGTTGGAAAGGAAATACTCAACATTCCAGTTCCATGACCGGACGTTGCTCACACTTTGCTTTTCACACATGTGCATTGGTTTGGGTCATTAGAGATGGTTGTATTAGGGGAGGTCGGGTAGTTATCACCTCGACTGTGCATAGAATGACAAACCGAAGTCGTTTTGGCAGAGATGACAGCGTGTAATAAATAATGCGGAAGGCCCGGAACTTATCGAAAAACAGCTTTTTTCGCCTACCGGACTTTGTTTTAAGTTTGATAATGGACACGTTTCATTTATCGAGATTTTCGAGTTCCAGAGCATTTTTGTCAGCAGATTCTTTAACTCTAGTTAGAAAAATGTCATATATTCACATTGACTCACTGAGATTAGAGAGCTACCGGTGGATGGATGTAGAGGAGGTCGACTATCTGGTGACAATGTGCCCGTTGTCGTTGTTGTTGTATCCATTTGATCACGTCGTATTTCTAACGGTTTAGGCATTCCTTTAATCAGACCGACTCTCATAGGCAAAAAGTCGGCCAAGCGTTTCTCCAATCGGCTGTGTAAACCGACAAAATGCAAGGTTGATGTGTCCGCACCGCTGTCCGTGGAATCCGCACTCCGTCCTGATCCCGGAGCTATCAGTCGAACCAGGCCAGATATAGCTTTTCGTTCTGCCTCGTATGTAGACTGAGTCAGCAATTGTTGTGCTAGACCGTCTGAGACACCAGGCAAACCATCCATCTGGTCGTCCAAGGGCGACAGACCAACAAAAGGAATAGCTGTGGCAATCCGTAAAAGAGCAAGCCAGTCCGTATAGGTATTTACATCTGAGAATCGAATCACAAGCTCACTGACCAGACCGAGTACGGCGGCTGAGGTTCCACATAGTCCGTTACTCGCACCTGGCCCCGGGGATTGCAATCCAAATGCATGCCCGAACGGAGACAATGAGGTTAGTGAGAGCAGGGAAGCACGACGACGAAGACGACTACCCAAAGTCATATCCTCCTCACCTGTACCGGTCCCGGTACCGATGGCACCACCACCACCACCGCCGCCAGCTGTTCGTTGCTCATCACT